CAATATTTATCAATTGTCACCATTTATTGCTTTAACATGTACTTACTAAATATTTACCCTTTTCTTATGACAAATTGCTGTCGTGTTGAGGTTATGTTTTTAAGCTCTGAAGTTAGTTCTGTATGAGTTATCAAAATACGTTTCTTTAGTTTCTCTTATAACAGTTGGAAACGAGTGTGTCAAATCTTTTCGTCAGCAAAGTGTTAAATGACAGCTAACATTTCTCATTTTGCTAACTAGTTTTTGTTAACATTTGTCATTTATATTTCTCATAAATCTTATAAAAATAAATAAAAAATCTTTATATTTCAGGAAATGTCTTCGTTATTGCTGCCATCCTTATGGAGAGGAACCTGCAGAATGTCGCCAACTATTTGATCGTGTCGCTTGCAGTTGCTGATTTGATGGTAGCATGTCTGGTCATGCCTCTGGGTGCAGTTTACGTGGTGAGTGACTACTTCACGTACTCTTCACTTTATACATGGTTTCATTCGGTTTTAAAGTGCCATAAATAATCAATTAAACATTAACTGCGGCACTAATTACGAGCACCGTGATTTGCGCAGAACGGCACGTTTACATTCGCGAAGCACGAATTTACAATCGCAATCATTTCATACTACAGCCCACATGGGACCAGGGGTCATTTATTTTATTTAAATTCAATTTGCAGCTTTGCGAATACTTGCAAATTGTAGCACGAATATGAAACATCACGAATACAAGTATAAATGTATGTCCTTCTATAAATATATTTGAACATTCTGCTGTCCCTTACAGTTTATGAACTAGAATTGTATACCCAACGATTTAAACCTCATTTACTATCATTTCAATTGACAACTGCCACAATCATTAAAGATAATTCCAATTTATATGTAAAAAATAATAATTCGCGTTCAGCAGTATCTAGCATAGTCCGGGTAATTAGTTTTTCAGATAGCCCGGACTAATCGAGAATATTAAAACAGCAATAAAAATAAACTATATATAAAGGGATTTGAATATAGGATGGGAAAAGCGATCATTTATATATAAAAAAAAATAATTGTATATACTAATTCTTAAGAATTTATTTTTATTTTGTTTAATTACAATTTATTATATTTTGAAATTTTCCTTAATAGAAGTTCAATTGCTTAACTTAATTTGCTTTTAGTTACTCTTTCTCGATTTATTATTTTATTTCCTTCAGTTTCTAAATTAAAATATATTTATTAGCGTCAAGTAAGATTTAAATAATTGAGAATATTTTGCAAAATTGAAAATTATTGGATCAACAATAATACCTTTACTTTTACATATGTCCAACAATAACTTCACTTTAGTAATAATCTTCTCTTATAATAAACATACAGTGGAACATCGCTTAACGAGTTTAATCCGTTGTTAAATTTTCTTATCATCGTCACTAGTATGCGAAACTTCGCTCGTTAAGCGAGTCATTTTCTTACAATTAATTTTACTCGTTAAGCGAGGTTCCACTGTATTTATATAATCGTATTGAAGAAAATAAAATCAATTAACTGCCCTAATTTATATAATTTGTCGTAATTAGCTAAATTAATCTGTTAAATAGTTGGATACGAAACATACAAATAAACAGAAATTTAAATTGATTGATATAAATATATCAAATTTACTTTTAAAGGTTCTCTTTTAAAGTAGATTAAACGGGTTGAGTCTATTCTAATTTAAGCTGCGTAAATTTCAATTACGTAAATAAAACCTTGTCAAGTTTGTTTAAAAAATAACGACTTAAGCTTAATGATGCAATTAATTAGTGAAATACGAGTTGAGTTGTTTCAGGGGACAAGAGAAAAATATATATATAGTTTAAACAAAATACTTGACAAGTAACTTATTAACTTGGCGAATACGTGTATGTTCAGCTAATTTTCCGGGAATCCGCTTTTAGGAAGAATGGTGATGAAATGTCGTTTTCTATAGCTTGTTATGTATTAAATATTTTTATTTGAAAGATATGGTTTAATACCTATAAACAATGGTAGTCAGTTGGCTGCAGTTTGAACAACGTTCTTCGTACGAGATAATGGTCAAGCATTGTCCTGACAGAGGTTGGGCCTGTCTCTATTCATCAATCTGGGCTACATTATTCCCAAGCTTCCTCAACATTTCGTCTATTTGGTTACCGTAATCTAACCATTAGGTCTCATGAAGCTGTAGTGGAAAACACCAGCGCTGGACTATGAAACAGACATAAGTTTTTTTTAATGAATATTCGAAGTGTGTTTTGGCATTTTATTGTGCCAAACACTTGCGATTGTAAAAAATAATCCATTTTTCATCTATCCAAAGCTTCATAACCATATGAATTTATTTCAAATGGTTTAAAAATGTTGCAATACCGACATCAACTTACTGCCAATTCACGGGTAGTTTGAGGTGTATCCGCTTCCACTCCATATTGTTATCAGTTTGTTACGTGGTTCATTTTGAAGATCAAAATCTCCCGAACGAAATTTCTCAAACCAATAACACTTCGTTGACACTTCGAGTTGTGAGCACTACAGTACTTTCAGGGTGGGACTCATATTATCATATATGATATTATTCAAATAAAATTTCCCGGGAAATTCTAAATCCCTGGATTGAAAGAAATGTTTGGGGACAGCACTCACTTAAAGAAGCATTACTATTTTTATTTGAACTTACTTAAATGGAATTATATAAATAATATTTTTCAAATTGATTTTGAGATATAATTTATAAAATTTTATGGTAGGAAAAATGCAAAAAAAAATACTATTCGTTCTTCGTCACTTTTACTTCGTTTTTATTTTATAATTATAAAGATACAAAAACTATATAAATTATAATTATGTAAATAATTCTTTGGTAATTTTGTTATATAAATGAGAGACTTAAGTTTAATGACTCAATTAATTAAAGTAACATGAGATGGGATGCAGCAAAGAAAAAGTATAAAAACTGTACACCGATTCTCATAGAAATAAGCCGTACAAAGCTTCTGGAAGTATCGCAAAGAGCCAACAAGTGAGTTGAATAACTAAGTTCCTTATGTAAATATTTACTTGCCAATGCAAATGGCTGCGTAATTTAGAAACGAAAGTCTTAGACTTCGGGGAGTCGGAGAGTTCTCTCCGGGCATCCTATGAGTATTAGTATCATAGTTTCGACGCTATCGAAGAGGCGAGGGTTAATGAAATAAATTTACTCCAAATAAAGGTCAGTCGTTGGATCTCTCCCATATAAAAGGATGTTCTTTAATTCAGGAGGGACGAAGGAATAATGGGCGCTACCGTCTAAGGAAGGAGACGGAGGCTGCTTCCTAAATTCCATTAGCAGGATGGACTTTTAAAACTAGCCCCGGTGCTCCTTTCATCCACCGTTATCCGTCCAACTTATCACCTCCAAGGACGCACTAACCAGGATTGTTTCCATTATCGTGCGAACCTCCTTACGGAACTGTCATTTTATTCATCCCGATTTAATTCGCAAATCAAGCTGCCCCGTTCTTCCGTTTTAGTTTTTTTTTTGTTTTGCCTGCTCTTTTCGTTTTTCCTCTTTATCCTGCTTTTATTTTGTTTTTTTCCTGGTCATTCCTCTTGTCCTGGGACCGATGTCTTTACGGCCGCCACTAAAATCCAACTGGAGTGTCCATAAAACTGTTACATTTCCACTGCAAGTGAACTGCTGGTTGCAATGCGCATGCAAAGGGCCATTTACATAATAAGTCAATTACACCACTCGGCGCAGACGAAAATTTGCAACGATCCATCATATTCCGGGAACGGTTTTATTGGCAGCTGCACCGAATGATATTTATAGTTGATATCATTTACTTCCTTCCCGGCTTTACTACATAAATGCACCGATGACAGCATGTAACAATAACGAACGAGCGAACTGTCTCCGAACTGAACTTATTAATTCTCTCGTAAATGATAGTTTTATGTAACTGTTTCACGATTCAAATCGATTTAATAATTTTGAAATAAACTAAATGCTTCCTTTATACTTTCATATTTGAACTACTTTATTTTATATTGAAATACATTAAAACAAGAGAAAAGAAATAAAATACATCTATTACAAACACTAAAAATACAGAATTTGTAAAATAAATACAGGGTAACCTAGAAATGATTTAGTGACTTTTGGGACTTGTATAACAACACTGTCTAAATTTGATTCAACTAATTAAAAACTTCAAATATTATTAATATGTAGGAATATTTTGATCAATATAAATAATTAAATGTGAGTATAAAATTACTTCTTGAGCGATTTGTATACACACAATGAGACTTCGAACAGTGCAAATTCACTATTGCAGGGATTCCCAAACTTTTCCTGCAACAAAACACTTCGTAAATTCTGAAATTTTCATCGAAAACCTTCTTTATTTTGTAGGGAAGGTAA